CCATGTTACGGGACATGCTAATCACATTAGGTTAAGTTAATGGGTAAAATGCTTGTCATTGCGATCTTTATACCCTATTCCCTAGGGGAAGAGAAGTGAGACGCCAGGTGGAATGACTAGTGTATTCTGTATAGGTAGGAGGAGGTTGACTGTCGTATGAGCATGCGTCGGCGCCCGAGCGGGGCACAGTTCGAATTGTAAGAAAGCGTCTACAGGGCGGTCTTTGTGAGAGTAAGCCTTGAAGGTGTTTGGCAAGACCGGGGTAGGCAAACTAGTGCATGCACACTTGATTGCAGCCGCTCGAGGCAAGCGTTGCGCGCATATTGGGGTCACTACCTGCGCATCCCGCTGCACTTTCGGGCTTCACCTAGAGTCCTATCAGACGGTTGCATAGCGACTAGTACTTACTCCTATTGGCCCAATTGTGAAAAATTCGCGGCCTCGGTGGGAGTCAAATCCACACAACAGGGAAGGCCCACGGTTAGCCTCGTAGCTCAATGGCAGAGCTTTGGTAGCGGAAAACCCTTCTCTGTCTTGTGGGTTCGACTCCCACCGAGGCGGCGAATTTTTTACAATTGGGTCAGTCGGATTATTGAAATCTGCCAAACCCCAGCAACTAGTTATTACATAGAAAGGCTACCGACCAGGACCAAGGAGGCGGGAATAGCCGTTTCTAACTTATTATTTGCCAATTACGCACAACCCCAGGTTTAGATACCCAGTCTGCGACTGCCCTGAAAGGACCAAGGTGCCTTTAGATTTAACAAATTCCACAACGACCATCCGCCTGCGCGAAAGCCAAGAGCAGAGTCTATCTATCTTGCATACTTTCAAAAGTGTAGTTTTAAGGATTGTTTTACCTAGTTCGCCTCTATCCGGGTCTAGGACGTGTGAAACCGAGTCGCTTCAGACCACGGACGTGTGGGCAGTACTGGGCAAGTGTGATACTGTTTTAGCAAACAGGGCGCCTGCTATCGTTAGTTTAGCGAACGTTTGCCAGTATACTATAATATTATGCTCTCGTGCCCTCAGACAGCATTGCCCTTATCGTCACTTACGTGAACTTTGTTTATTCTAAGTATTTAGTGCATGTGACAGTGAATCGAAGCGTTTTTGTTCGCCTGGCAAAGGCCGCTAATGTCTGTGGTAGCCCTTTACTATACTCGTATTTATCTACAAAGTTGTAATACTTTTCTTTCTACTCAACTTTCTATATTGATTCTTGTTGTTACGCATTTCCCTAACTGGCATTTAGCACTATTTGTTTAAGTTCGTGTACTAACAGTTGCGCGCTACACGTCAACTGGCGTGAATTGCGTTATAAATAGCGGACATTTTACCCACTGTTGTTGTTCTTCACTAGACGGTATAGGCAGTCGATTTCTTCATACGGAGGGTATCATGCTCGGCTTGTCTTGACTTGTTCTTAACGTGGGATCGCATCATCGATCGTTTCTACTCAGTAAAGGCCCTCTCAACTCGCTCGCATATGTTCGTCTGCAATTTCCCTAAACGATGGTTTTGCTCTTAAAACAGTAGCACAGGTCAGACAGGAAAAAGCTTGCGTGGTACGTGACAGACGGGTTCGCCTCTTCCCATCTTCCATCAGCACGTTATAGTTTTTTTCCTAGTACGTGATAGGACGGGGAGAAGGACCGATTTTGTGGGACAGGTAAAGATTCCTTATATGGAACAGTTTGTAGTTTACTATAAATAACTGCCTATTTAGTTCATTATAGTAAGCATAATATGTTTCATTTTATATAATCATGGATTGCAGTGCTTTTATACTTTATGTATTATACGGTTTTTCTTGTGTACAGTTACTTTAATTTGACAAATTTATGTTTAGCTTTTAGTTTAATCACTTTAGCTTAGTTTCCTTTGGGTTTCGTTTTACTTTAGTTTACTACAGTAGCCGCCGGTTATTAAGCCCACGGTTAATAGGCCCAGCCGCGTA